TCGGCTCAGATACATGATTACTCATCAGGTTAATAGAAAACTCAGGCACGTTCATGGAAATTGATGTGATACAATTCAATGTCTAATAAACGAATGTGATTAGGCAATGTTTTACACACACACACACACACACACACATATATATATATATATATATATATATATATATATATATATATATATATAAAGTATGGACATAGCGATCGACAAAGCATTATGGCTATCAGTTTTGCGTTTCGATACGATCCTCAGATCAAGTGTATATATAAATTAATATATATATATATATATATATAAACGAATATATATATATATATATATATATATATATATATATATATATATATAAATGAATATATACACACACACACATATATATATATATATATATATATATATATATATATATATATATATATGATGCAGCAGAAATACCTCTCACAAATACCTCTTATATAATGATGAGATGAAGATAATATTGACACTAATTTCTTACCATTATGTGGGATGTACTTCTAGGGGTATATGTGTAGATTTAAATCGTACACCACACACACACACACACACACACACACACACACACATATATATATATATATATATATATATATATATATATATATATATATATATAACGTGATTATTTGGAGGATTTAGGATTATCATAATTCGTCGAGCCTAGAATAATCCTCAACAGAATGCAGAAAGCACTGGGACTCATCAGCAGTGCGCATCCACTACCAAGAATCGAACCCGGACCGTTTCGATACAACGCAAACGTCATTCCAACTGTACCTCAGTGACGAAGAAGACCCATAAACTAGACTATATATATATATATATATGTGTGTGTGTGTGTGTGTGTGTGTGTGTGTGTTTGTGCGATGGTTTCTGTGTGTGTGAGTGTGTGCGTGCGTGCGTGTGTGAGCAGATATTTGTATGCTTTCTGTTTTACCTATCTATGTCTACGCGTCTAAATATCAACTGATATATTATCGCCACTCATTTAGTTGCATTCAATCATCATTTAAATGTCAAAAGTCTGTCGGAAAATTTAATATGAATAAAGAGCATTTCATGATAACCAATTCCCAATCCCACTTCTATTATTTTCACTTCGCTGAATCAATTAAATGCGCTTTGGCTTGGTGAGTAAAATTAACAAATTAATCCAATAAACATTGTTAATGATACTTCAAGAAGTATCCACCAGACAAGTCATATCTCAATGTAGTAAAACCCAAACAGCCTATTATTAAATAACTAATAAATTAGATCAGTTTTAAATTGCCTTGTGGAACACTGAGCCGAATTAGCATTGACTTAAGATGTCAAGTGTAGTTTTGACAGATTAGTTGAACTTCGTAGTTGATATACGATCACTTTTTTTTTCTCAAACTATTTTTACTGCAAAATGTCTTACATATGCGTTTTCCTTACAATACAAGGATATACAATTATCCTCAGATATAACAAGAATATTTTAAGAAGTTTAAAATATTTATTATACTATAATTTTCAAAATTTGGACGATCATGACTCTCCACGATCTTCTCGACCTTTACTATCTCTCTTTCTTCCTGTTTTGTTATCCATACACAATTAAATGGTTTACTTTTAGTTTTTCCTTCCTTCTTGTCTTGCCTTCATTATGCCCTGTGAGTGTTACGTTTTCTAGGTCTTCTTTCCTCATTGTCTATCCTAAAAATGTCAACTGACTATTTCTAATTATAAGTACTAGTTTCCTGGCAAGTTCCCGTTTCACTGAAAACTTTCTCAAATGTGCCCTTGGGAAAGGCATGAATCCACCTCTTCATCCCCCAGCTATTGGTTAATTAGTACGTCTTGTATCACTGGAAAAACATTATAGTCTACAAAAAAAAAAAAATACAGTTGTGTACAAAATATTTAGATTTCGGAATTAACTAACTCATAGAGGTTGATATGCAGCCAAACAAAAACAACCAACCAACACAACCAATAAGATTTCTTTTTTATCATTGGATAGATTCTCTTGAATGCACTGCCAAACAGGATATTAGACGTTACAGGGTACAGTAAATTCATTATGCACAATTAGTACATAGCATTTGTTAAAATACAAGCAGTTTGTAGCTCAATAGTATATGAAGATATTTACCATATTTTTTAAAGAATCTGATCGTCAACCAACCATTGAAGTTGGTACAACTAAATGATTCTATAATGGAATTTTTATCGATATATTTTAACAGTATCTCCCAGGATTTTATCCTTGGACCTACGCTGTTTCTGATCTTCATCAATGATCTCCCTGATATCATCAATCCCCAACTAGGCATTTATGCAGATCACACGACCATTTAATTTTCTCTCAGTAGTAATCCCAGCAGATCCGACAAAGTAAACCTTGTAACTTCTCTTGAAAATGACCTCCAATCAGTGATTAACCGAGGCAATAAATGCCTTGTAAATTTCATCGTTTTCAAACCAAAACTGTTTTCATTTAATTACCACAGAGAGACCGTTCTCCCTACTATCAAGGTGGCTGATAAAAAAAGTGTCCCAATATTCGCGTAATAATCGAACAAGGTCTGTTGAATATTGTTGCAATATCTGATCTGGTGCTCCTGCTGTACATCTAGAGATTCTTGACAAAATCCAAAGAAAGGTCTGTAATATAATCGATATTAACCTGGCACTTCATCTCAAGTCACTTTCTCACCGACATGACTTGACTTCCCTCTCTCTGTTTTAAAAAGATTTTCATGGCAACTGCTCGGATGAGTTTTTTTTTTTCTTGGGACACAGGCCACATAAATTTAAGCGTTCTACTAGACTTGCAATTAAGTTTCGCCGTTTTACTGTTGAACTAGCTAGATGAAAACGCCAATTCTACTCTTACATTTTTTTCTCTCACTTCACAGGTGTGGACTTCCTTCCGATTTATTGCTTCCCCGATAATTACAATCTTCAAAAATTTAAATGCAGCGTCAATCGCCATCTTCTGTCTTCTTGAACCCTGTTCCTTTTCGTACTTTCCTCAATTTTAGCCATTTTCAACCTTCTTATTTTCATTTACTTTCACTCCCTGTAACTCTTGCGTTCTAGTTGCACTATCGCCTTGCTTGGGGTGAAACAGTTAAAAGAAATGGTATTAAATCTAAAAGATTAGGATTCAATATACAATTTGAACGCGTGCCCTTCTTTAGAAAGCCTAATGTATGTAGGCCATGAAAAATGACGAAAATCAATAATTTATTATAAAGCAGGTTCGTAATTCAAAGATAAGAAGCGGCCTGTTGGAATGCTAAGAAATTTCTGTTGGATGCCTAAAGGTTGTTTGCGATAGACAGCATATAAGAGAGGTTAATTTTTATAAAGGCAATTTTTTTAAAATCATCGTTGATATAAGAGGATGAACTTGATTTTTCTTCATGTGTTTGTCGATGATCTTGCTTTTCTGAAATGTCACTGTAACAAAAACTATTGCAGAGTCTTTTCCACAACAAAAAGCTGACATCTGAAGCATATGTTGTCAGAAAACAAAAATTCGCGTAATGGTATTTCGTGACGAGCTTCCTTTGCCACGAAGAAATGTCATTTTTGATTCTGACTTATGGCAAATCGATCGGTGGTGAACAATGCAATAGGGACAAGCAAAATGTAACAGTCTTATGGGAGAAAAGAGACAATGAGCCCCACAACAGTATATTATAAATATCAGGAAATAATTCTTGCATATTTTTTGTTATTATTTACTAGCATAAATATTTAAAATTTATGTTTTAGGCAACTTTGACAAGGCAATTACGAATATCTGATTATTTGTGCTTTTATATGTTTGTAATTTCATATCTATCTATCTATCTATCTATCTATCTATCTATCTATCTATCTATCTATCTTATCTATCTATTGTATCAATATTGCCTCAATCTGTTCATATCTGATATATATTTGTCTCATTCTGTTCATATCTATCTATCTATCTATCTATCTATCTATGTGCATATATATTCAATCTTTAGGCGAATATTTGCAATCTATTCAGCCTCTCGTATATATATATATATATATATATATATATATATATATATATATATATATATATATATATATATAGTCCGATGAAGTCCTAAGGGACGAAATATATATATATAAAATATTGGACGACTTGCCCTAATACGTTAAATCGTTTCAGCATCTTTGCTTGTTTGCAATTAATTAAACGAAAGAAGATATAAAAAATTATTAAATCTAGAAGGTGGCTCAAATGTTTTTTTACCCAAATATATATATATATATATATATATATATATATATATATATATATATATATATATATGTGTGTGTGTGTGTATGTATGTATGTATGTATGTGTGTGTGTGTGGTTGCGTCTGTAAATACCTATCTATAAGTATTGTGATTTGAATGTCGCAAAATGTACAAAATCGAAATTAAAAACCACAACTTCCACTCAGTATCGATTCACTACATATGTATGCGGATGTATGTTCATGCATAAATACTATATTCAGTTGTGTATGTGTGTTTGTGTGTGTCTGTGTGCACATGTCATAGAAATAATACTGAAAAGCACCAAATTTTAAACTAAATGATCTCACCATCCGGGATCCAACCATCCGGGATCTCATCATTCCGGATCTCATCATTCGAAAATCGTTATCAGGAAAAGTCGAAAGACAATTTTTGTAATATGAACTCAATATTAGGTCTTCATTAATTTACATCAAATATCTATAACTGCGGGAAATAGTTAGGATCACTTTCAGCTAAATTTATTAATAATCCTGACTCAGAAAATATTTCATTTGTAAGATCCTATGTAAATTCAAGTATTAATGTGTAATAAATTGGCTCATCTCCTCAGGGCAAATAATAAGCGACCCGATTAAAAAAAAAAAAAAAATCCCAGAGGTATTCCAACTTGTTAAATATTTCCCAAATGTATCGAACAATTTCAGTTCAGACTTTACATGAAGCCTGGTTTTTAGAACTTACGGCCGTATCACCTTGAAACACCGGTTCTCGTAAGATCACCGAAGTTAAACAACACCGAGCCGGTTCATTACCTAGATAGGTGCACGTTTGAGAATACCAGGTACTGCGTGCGAGGTGTGTAATGGATAACAACTCCGAATTGGAAATCAGAAAGCTTCATTCCAATTCTAGTATGTTCTTTATATTCACTTCTGCGCAAATACCATTGAGACAGGTATAAATTCATCTCTTCACCCCCACATATGGGTTAATTAGTAATACATGTATCAATAAATCATTATTTTCTTTTTAAAATTCTTACAATCTCAATATATTTTGTGGCTTTAAATAACATACAAAAGGTTGCTAAGTCGTAGAGAACGAATCAATCAATCAAACCTGGTTATTTAAATGGGAAATTTTCTATACGCACATACTTTGAAGGTAATATCAATAAACGTTATACCCGATATTAGTGTGAGAAGTAGAGTTTAAAGTTTCATTCAGTGATAAGATTATTCAGAATATTTAGTATCTTGAGATATATTTCATTTATTAAAAACTTTGGCCTGCTTCAGAAATCGTCCTCGGGATGTGAAGGAAGATCATGTGCATTCAGGACTACATAGATTTTTACTGTTGTTTTCGAATTCACTTTCATCTTCCATAACGACATATTTACATTCTGTTATATCTTTCGCGTGACATTGTAAGTTCGGAAACAACATGCGTCTCCATTTTCTTTCTAGGAATTTCATTTCCTGTTGAAATGCATTCTATCTCGAAGTTTATCGCAAGAATCTTCACGAACATATTACTGAATTACGTTATACTTGAATACAACATGATTATAGTATCGCCGAATACTGAGAATATTTCTATCATTCAGGGAAGAAGAGAACACAACTTACTTTCTATTCAATAGTTTTTTTTTCCCAATGGTGCAGAAAGAGCTTACCCGGCCTTGTATTCTCTTCTATAACAATTTTTCAAGGAATTTCTTTAAAAACTTTTGTCATTGTATATCTGTAGTAATTACTTTATTGCTTTTATTTCAGTTTCTGTTATTGTCTTTTTTTCCCTCTCGTCTTCTATGTTTTCTTCCCGCCTTCTTTTTATGCCTTTGTTTCTTTTTATAGTTTTTTGTTATTTTTTCTTTTGTTTCAATTGGTTCATATCATTTATAATTTCCCTCGTCAAAATTCCGAGGATTTGAAATGCGGTTGTCATAATAATTTTTCGAATCCGTTGTGATTATTTTTCAATTTCTAATTTGGTTGATTCAAGATTTTTTGTTTTGATTTGTTTTTTGCCTTGATGAATTTATTCTGGACTATATCCCTATTCTATGTGCCATATTTGTAACAATAGCCACTATTCATCATCTGCTATTGATTCTATCAGTTTTAAATTATCTGTGAAGAGATTTCTTTTTTCCTTGTTTCATTCTCAACATTGAACGATTTTTGTATTTTGAATTCCTTGCTGCAGCGGTTTTGTCATAATAATTTTGTGAATCCATTGTGATTATTTTTCAATTTCTATTTTGGTCATTCGGACTATAATCGATTCTGTTGTGTCCTCAATCCTTTTCATTTTTGACTATGGTCTGTTGGTGTCGTCCGTCTCATAGAGACCATTCGGTATGGTCAATATTTTCCTTTTCTCTTGATCTATCGATTGGATTTTCTGTCTTGTCCAGTCTAGAGAGGATCCTGTGTTATCTCCTAACTTATATAACCCATGTCCATCCCTTTAAGGTCTTGATTGGAAAGTATTTTGTGGTGTTATTGATTATTATTATTCGAGTATACAGTAATCGGCATGGCAAGTGAATTTCGGCGTTCCGTATTCAATTCCCGTTCGATTCTGTTTCATTAGATTCGCGATAAAGCTTGTGGAAGAATCCTGAACCCATCTTTGCCCATCTGTGGGCTAAATAGCCCAAAAGACTGTGCTATCTAGCTCTGAGCTGGCAACCAGTTTAAGAGAAGGAAAACTTGGAATTCGGAAACCAGCATTTAGAGGGATGCATCTCGTCAGGCTATCTTGCCTAAGGCACACCACTGCTACTATAGCTGCAGTACACGTGGTGCCCTTACAAAGCTAATGGCGTAAAAAGATGTTTGACTTGATATTGTCGAGTGAAAGATCAGCATGCCTAATCCTTCCCACAGTCTGACTAAACTATACCAGGCACATTAATCACAAGAAATATACGCGATAAGGTGACAGGTTTCAATGAAACCAAATATTTTATTATTATTATTATTATTATTATCATCATCATTCGATTTCTGCTATGGACACACTACCTATTAAGGCAGGTCGTGGTGTGTTGTTATGGCCACATTTCATGTTAATTTTTTTTTTTTTTTTTTTATCTCCGATGAAGTTGCTAGCGTTATTCTCCTTAGTGTGTTTCTTATTAGGGATTCTTTTGTGTTGTTTTTCCATTCCATTTTATAATTCCAAGTGCACCTATTACCACTGGTATTATTCTTTGTTTTCAATTTCCACTATTTCAATTTCCAGGTTTTGTATTTTGATAGTTTTTCAAATTCCTTGGTTGCTATGTTAAATCCGCTGGACAAATCAATTAGTAGGCAATTTTTTCTTTTCTGGTTTTTTTTGATGTAATGTCCGGCCTATTTGTTTCAATTTTTTCTGTCTGTGTGGATGGTATAATCCCATAGAATGGTGACATCTTCTATTTCTGTAACCGGCGCTGGCCGATGTTCATTTTGCTTACACATTTTCCAAAGTGTTTGCACATTGTCCAGTGTAAGTATTGCCCCAAATTTGGGGCAAAGTATAGAACATCCTGAGATTAGATGGTCTATTGTTTCTTGGTATTTGTCACAGAACCTGCATTTTGGATCCACATTATTATGTATGATATTTGCCTGAAAATTCCTAGTGAAAAGACTCTGGTCTTGCGCTGCAAGAATAAAGCCTTCAGTTTCAGACTTTAATCCAGATGCTCGTAAATCGATGAGTATTAACTTTATCAACATTGGGTTTATTTTCGTTCTGGATATTGTGCAGAGGTTTGTCTTGCCAGCGTTGTTTCATCTGTTCAAGGGCTTTATCCTTGGCTTTTTTTCATATCTTTTGCTGCAATAGTTGGTTCTTGGCTTCTGTTTTGATTTACTACAGAATCTACTAAATGTAAATGTTGTTTGTATTTATGCCTTCTTTTATTATTGAATTTTTTCTTTCTGTTTTTTCATGTTGTTTCACTAATTTTATCATCCAGTCATTTGTTGTTTCCATGTAAGTTAGTAAGCCAATTGACAATTTAGCTGAATAAGACCTCTTCCACCTTCTTTACGGGGTATGTCTGACGGTCTATATCAGGATGATTAATCAGAAAAAGCAGAATCCATTTGTCTGATGTCATTTAGAGTCCAGTTCAAGATGTTTCATATTGGACCACTGGGATTTTATTATTAATTGAGAATTCAATTCAGTTTTATTAGTTATTTTTATATAGTACTCTTTACGCACTATTTCTTTTCATTTTTATTATTATGATTATTTTTACTTATTATTATTATCATCATTTCGATTTCTATTATGGACTTGACTACCTACCAAGTTTTGGAAAGACCTAAGGCAGGTCGTGGTGTGTTGTTATGGCCATCATTATAATTTTTTTTTTTTTTTTTTTTTATCTCCGATGAAGTTGTAGCGTTACACAAAGTTCTCCTTAGTCTGTACTTAATAAACAATTTTCTGTATGTCTCTTAAGCCCATTCAATGTTTGTTTTGTTCCATTTTTTATAATTCCAAGTGGTCTTTAATCACGGTCTTTTGTATTTTGATCTTCCTTGTCGTTACAATCCGCTAGCAATTAGTGATTTTTTCTTTCTGGTTTTTGACAATAATGTCCGGCCTATTTGTTCAATTTTTCTGTCTGTGATGGTATAATCCCATAGAATGGTGACATCTTCTATTTCTGTAACCAAAGCGCTGGCCGATGTTCATACCAGTGTTTGTAAACATTTTCCAAAGTGTTTGCACATTGTCCAGTGTTTCTTTTTATAACCATTTGGGGGATCCTGAGATTAGATTATTATTATTATTATTATTATTATTAGTTTCTTGGACACACTAAAGACCTAAGGCAGGTCGTGGTGTGTTGTTATGGCCACATTTCATGTTAATTTTTTTTTTTTTTTTCTCCGTTCCTAGCGTTACATAGACAAAGTTCTCCTTAGTGTGTGTGCTGTACTTAATAAGACAATTTTTCTGTATGTCTCTTAAGCTGGGGTTTCAGGGATTCTTTCAATGTGTTGTTTTGTTCCATTTTTATAATTCCAAGTTTACCACTGGTATTATTCTTGTTTTCATTTCCACATTTTCTATTTCAATCCAGGTCTTTGTATTTTGATAGTTTTTCAAATTCCTTTGGTTGCTATGTTACAATCCGCTGACAAGCCATATCAATTAGTAGGCAAGTTTTTCTTTCTGGTTTTTGACAATAATGTCCGGCCTATTTCTTCATCTTTGTGGATGGTTTCCCATTGGTGACATCTTCTATTTCTGTAACCGGCGCTGGCCAATGTTTATACCAGTGTTTGCTTAACTCCAAAGTGTTTGCAATTGTCCAGTGTAAGTATTGCAATCGTGATTTTTTATATTCATTTTTGGGGCAAGTATAGAACATCCTGAATTAGATGGTCTATTGTTTCTTGGTGGAACCTATTTTGGATCCACATTAATCCGATTTGAAAATTCCAACTGGTCTTGCGCTGCAAGAATTTTCACTTTAATCCAGATGCTCGTAACCATCGATGGGTTTATTTGCACGTTCTGGATATTGGCCATTCAGAGGTTTGTCTTGCCAGCGTTGTTTCATTGTTCAAGGGCTCATTATTATTATTATTATTATTATTTTATTATTATTATTATTATTATTATTATTATAATAACTTGGATTTCTATTGTATACACATTTCCATCCTTATAATCTGCAGCGACTGTCATGTCAATAAAGGAAGCCCATTCTGTTCTTGTGGTCTTTAATCACGATGTCTTGTCGATTAGCTTTGATTGTTTTGTCTGTGTGTATTGTAAACTCTCATAAAATTGTTACATGTCCTTTCTTTGTAACCGGATCTGGGTG